ACTTTCAAGCAACAAACATATTATTTGTACTGTACAGTACAATTTCAAAACTATTTTGTGTAATAATTCGACTCTGACTTAACGGCTATTTCGATATTATTGATGACAAAAGTTTAAAATCGTCGATTTCTTACCTGTCCATTATTTTTGTTTGACGGAGTCGAATCGTTTGGACCACGTGGCGCGAATAGTTTTGTCAAGCTCCTCGCGAGAATGTGCGGATGACCCGAACGTGCGAAAGAGAACCACCGAGTCCAGACATTTGCGCGTGCAACTATCCGTACGTTGTTGACGTCGACCGACGTACACCGCGTGTATTGTACGTTGCAATTGGGTAAATCAAATTAACGAGAGATGGCACTAGTGAGACTTTATTAAACTAATTTTTTCGCATTTTTTCCTTAAGGCGTGAAATATTATTTTGTACCATAAATGGTACTGAAATATTATAATGTACTCAAAATGTACTAAAAATCTAAGTGCACTTTCGATGTACTCGAAAAAGCAAAATGTACTAGGAATGGCAACGCTGATTTTCGCCCGATCCGAAGAGTTTATCATTTAAAGTAGACCCCTCTATAAAACGGGTTCATAAAATACGGATTCGTATATAACGGCGAAACAATTGCCATCGTATTCGTATAAACATACTAAAAGAGACTCGTATGATACGGTAAAACGTCATCGCCGACTCGTGTCGCGACAGGATTGCGCAAAGCGTAGAGTTTAAACGAGCGGCGGAACTACTAAAACCATTTATTATTTAACGGACAAAAAAAAAATCATATTTATATTAATGATGTGTCCAAAGTTCAGCGAATTTTTCGCAGAAAAATAACTTATCGAGAAACACGCGCCCGCCGTCCGATGCGCAGCTCCGCGACGAAAACGAGCGTAAGCAATGGCGTCGTCGAACGGTGCGCGCTCGGTAAGTAATCCTACATTCTTTTGTTTATAGCATAGTTTATACGAATTATTCCCAAAAAATTATACATATTTTGGAAATGTTGAGTCGAATTAGTCTAGAATCGATTAATTTTATGGGAAAAAACCTTTCGAACAGCCGTAGTCCCTAAACTTCACACGTGTCTGGCTGTGATTGGCAAGGACTCGTACAAAA